CCCCCCCCCCCCCCCCCCCCCCCCCCACCCAACCAACACACACACACACACTCGACAGTGCAATGCGTGTGCCACGAGGGAGATAAAAATAACAGTTCACTTGATGACGCAATAAATATTAATGAATTAGAATACCCAAGGATTAAGTTGCACTTTATGCACAAATCTGCCGGCATTCTCATATAGGAAAGGAACCACTAAGTGCCATGAACCTAGAGAACAGCAGCAACAGGAATTTGTGGGATGTTGTCAACTCCAATGATGGCGATGAGTCACGCTCTTGCTCTGCCTCTCTCGTGTTAAACCAACCATGAAATGCGGGTCTACGCACAAAGGAAGAAAAAGGAGGGAGAGATGTTGGGAAACGCAAGTCAGGCCTCGCCACCACCTGTGATAATAAAAAAACAAGGGAGAGGAGGGGGGAGGGGTTTGTGGTCTTCCCCTTAATAAAAAAAAGAAATTTTGTTTTGAAGAGAGCGGCAGAATTTTTCCTTCTGCTTGCAGATGGGGGCAGGGGAGTCAGGTACAACCCCCACCCCCTCATTTGCAGAGAAGTGGACGCGAGCGAGGCCAGACGCGCGCACCCGTAAAACGCACTTGCGATGGGCAGGGATGGGAGAGAGAGAGGGCACGCAGACTGGAAGGCAAGGGGTGAATCATTTTCACTCCTTTCTCCTCCTCCTCCTCAAAAGGGACTAATTCCCACCATCTAAACAATAACAGGGAAACAAAATTTCCCTCCTCCCCCCCTTACTTTCTCTCTTTGAGATATTTTTATCCTATTCCGTGTCTCAACGCAATAACTAATTTTTGATCGACACTGGTACATATGAAGGGATGACCGGGATTGTCTCATCAAATTGTGAACTGCATCGGTAAACAAATGAAGACGTTGTAACGCAAATACTGCGTAGGAAAAAGCTAAATCTATTGCTTTAAATGCAAAAGATCTCAAAAGTGCAGGCTGCGAGTAGGAAGAGGATAGTGCCAAAAGCCTAGATAGAATAAGCCCGGAATTGTTACTTAAATAAAAAAGAGAAAAATATGAAGGAGGTTGATTAGCTGGTTGAGGGAAGGGGGAGAGAAGATTTCTAGATACAGTTCACCATCCCCCAACTGTCAGCAGCACACCACTGACAGCACATCTTTCCAACAACGAATTAGAGGTACTTACAATGGCAGAGAGGACGTATTTTGGAACGTGTAAGAGGATAAGGCTCAATGAGAACGTGATCGATGCAAGAATGCCAAAACCAATCAATACTTCATAAATGAGGAGTAATTTGTCATTGCTATCAGAATTAACAAGGCCGTATACGCCGTATATGGACGTTATTGCGGCCAAAATCTAAGAGAAAGAAGTTAGTCATTAGTATTCGCAACATTCTCCTCTTACTGCTGTGATGATGTCAGTTAGCGTGTGGAGCAGGAAGTAGGGCTTGCCCCAGAGCTTCTCCTTCAGAGTGAGCTTTCCTCCTGCAGCAGCTTGGCGTGTCATCTTATTGCCAAGTTAAGTCATGAGATTGTGCCATTTCCAACTCTGTTTAAATATACTTGTCGATGTGGGATTTAGTTGTTTCATGTAGTCTTTCGATGAGTGATGCATCTGTTGGGCTGTAGGAGAGGCCAAGGTTAATCTTGCACAACTCCTCAAATGAAGACTATTGGCGCATTAGACAGGTGCCAGTAGTCTCATCACTTTACCCCTAATAACAGCACATCTTTCCAACAAAGCTCGCAATTTCACTTTTCCTATCCCAAAAAGGAAAAGGAAGCAGAGAAGAAATGGTCTGGCAGAAGGCATTCACTCAACGCCACTGCCGCCTCGTTTGTCGTGTGGATGCATGTTGGNGGGGGGGGGGGGGGGGAGTGAGGGGGAGAGAGAGCGGAGAAATGGGAGGTAAGAGATGGGTGAGCAACATGAATAAGTAAAGAGGGAAAAAACGAAGAAGACTTGCAGATACTAGCAGTACAATCTGAGGGAGGTCATGAGATTACTCTCACTCACCTATGCATGTGAGAGCACAAGAATTTTAAACCACCATCAAAGGTCATCTCTGACTCAAATTATTACTACTTTCCATACATCTTTTACACGCACCAATTTCTTCACCTTCGCTCTCACCTTACTCCAAAAGTGCATGTGGAGGAGGCGG